AATCAAGTTGAATTATTACAGCTGCTCCATTCTGCTATCTACATAGTAATGTTGATACTTTACTTTACGTTTCGAGCCTTTATATCAGATATTGCCATAGATTGACTACTTTATCAACACATCCTCAGGTATTTGACATAGCAAAATATTAATTGAATTTATAATGATCGTTTTCATCTCACAACTGCAGGGTATAGTATGTTTGTGTTTATTGTTTGAAAGATTGCTTCAAACACATGAGCCAGAATTGTGGTCACATTTTCGGAATATTGATGTTAATCCGTAAGTACTTTAACTCTCTTATTTTGAAATAAATCATTTGAAACTTCTATTACCTTCCAAGGTTACGTTTGGTGTTTAAATGGATAATGAGAATCTTCAGTGGGCATCTTATTCCTCAACAGCTTCTGATTTTATGGGATTTGGTAAAGTATTAATAAGTATATATTATGCTCATACTACTCATAATTTTTGTATATATTAGATTTTAGGATACGATTCATTGGAAATTGTGCCATTGCTTGCAGTAGTTATATTCAGCTTTAGAAGAGAAAGTTTGATGCAGGTGAACATTTGTTTAAATTGAATCAAATAATAATTAATCAACATTAATTGTATTTGTTTCTACAAGGTTCAAATCAGCAAACAATGGAATCAGTTGTAGCAGATCTTTCATCTGTACGAGTTCTGCCATTAGTCCAAGTAGCACTTGTTCGGGAACACATGAATGAAAGAATAATAATTGGAATTTAAATTTATAACTAATTTATATACTTAAATGAACATCAAAACAAGTAACATTATTCTTGAATTGTAAAATTAGCGATTGATTGGTTTCCTTTGCAAGCAGTAAATTTGAAATATAAGACTTATTATGGAATAGATTTTTTGTTGTTAAAAACTAATAAGAAACATTAAATATTGCCTTACTAAAGTACTCACCCATTATTATTGTAGAGGCACTAACCATTTTAACGTTTTACGTTAACGATATTGCACAGACATTAAAATGCACCACCACTATATTATTATATTGTCTAGGACCACTATTAAATTGCAAATGACATTTTGCAATGTTTAAATTTTATATTCAACTAATTTTATAACGTTGGTGACAGCAATTTGGCGCGCAAATTCTACTTCACTTTAAACTTGCTAACTCCTCTTTTGACATTTCATCTGACAAGCAGTCAGATTTGACGGTTATAAAACTAGTATTATTATAAATCATGCCTTCATATTGGATGTTAAAATCAGAACCCAACACTTATTCATTTAAACAAATGGAAACAGACCAAATTACATCTTGGGATGGCGTTCGAAACTACCAAGCTCAAAATTTTATGAAAACAATGAAAATTGGAGATCAAGCTTTTTTCTATCATTCTGTATCTGACAAAGAAATAGTTGGTATAGTGGAAATTATCAAAGAACATTACATGGCAGATGATCCTAAATTTGGAATGGTAGATGTGAAATTCATCAAACCACTAAAAAATCCAGTAACACTTGCAATGTTGAAATCGAATCCCCAATTGAAAGATTTACTCATGTTGAAACAGTCCCGATTATCTGTTTCGCCAGTTTCTGAAAGCTGTTGGTTGGAAATTATGAAAATGAGTAAAGATAGTTAGTATATACTATGTATTGTAATTAATTAAATGTTTTAACATTTTTGTTTGTATGTTGTATATAAAATAAAAAATTAAATCATGTTTAAGATTATATTTTGTTGATTTCATCATTACATTATTTGCTATTTGTATTTACAGTGTTAAATTTATATATAAGGTATAAGAATATAAAGCTTTCATATATTTTCATAGGATTAAGCTGTACTTTGCATACAAACTCATTTGTTTACATCCTAAATATCCTTTTAAAAATTAGCCGGACAAATAATTATGTGGAGATAACGTATTACTAATTAGTTTCAGAATAGTTTATATGGCATTTGACAAGCAAAATTATTGAAGAATCAATGGTACAATTTTCAAGATCAAGACTATGCCATATTTTATTCTTCATACATTATCTTTATAATTATTTCAGTATATCTTATGAATTGTAATTTCAATTCTGGCAGTGGTATGTGGTTATATTCATAACTTTATAAAACTCTTGAAAAATTGTAATTACATATCTTTATGAATTTGTATGAATTTCAATATATATCTCATAATAATTAATAATACATAAATATAGATTCTACGTAGATATTTGATCATTAATAAATTTACTTATATTGGCTTTAAATTTTGGAAGACCGAGGATGCACAATTTTTTGTATGTATGTACCATATAAATTTTTGGAATATATATAATTGACATAACATTAGTTATATATTTCATATGTACATTATCTATTCTACTAAAAATTTAATATAGAAACATTTATACATATAAAAATACTAATCTAAACTACTTAAGTATTACAAAAATATTAAGACTATTCGATAATGCTTAAACTTTTTTTTTAATTACAAATGACTAACCAGTGGTATTTGTTGTTATTCGTGGTATATAAAATCATTACACACTTGCAAATCAGCCTGTCCACTAATGTATTGTATATAATGTGGATAATTACGTTACATCTTAACTTCATAGAATGATATCTAACAAAGCACTGGCACTAAATAATTAAAAAGAAATCTATAAACATATTTTATCTTATATTCCTACAATGCAGTTGTCTAGTGTATAGTATTGTAAAAATAGTATGAATTGTGATATGTTATTACATGTATATATTTTTATCAAGTGCATTGGAAACAGGCCAAAATGCACCTGAAGCGTATTTCTTAGTTTTCCCCTTCTATACACACTTTATAACGTAGTTTCATTAATTTGTTTTTTTTTTGGCTTTTTGTTAAAATTTAACTTATATAATAATGTAAAATTATAAGCATTAATCTTAATATACTTACAATTACAATCAGAACAACTGGGCTCTTTAGTAACAATTGATAAATATCTTTTTATTTTAAACATTGAGTATAAAATTCGTATCCCAATATAAACAAATGAAGTATTGCAAATGCAAAGAACTATGCTTTTCCCCTTTTTTAATCGATATAATAATATTTCTTGTCTTTTATGTAATTTAGAGGTACTGGACAGTTGTGAATAGTTAAATTTTTATACTAATTATAATGAATAATCTACATATTAGGTACATTTTACACATGAAGTGTTATGAAAGACTATATATACAAAGGATTTTAATATCTCATACCACTTACATGCTTTTTTGATATTGCAATTTTTATGCAACACACGATCGTTTCTGCTACTTTTTATTATTTATAAAGTGTTAAGTAAGGCTAATACTTATTTATTCGCTATCAACACATTTATTTGCTATCTTAGAAAATAATAGAAGTTTTTTGCAAAATGGAAATATGCTTCTATTAAGTTCATCTAGCAGCAATGCCAATCATTGGAAAGAATAATGTTTTCATAAGTATACAACCGCGTCTAGTATCACATTGCTCTTCGCACAATCTGCTCGGTATAACACCGCGGTAAGTTTTTTTGTCAAGCCTCGCTATTGTAACTTACCGAAACCAGAAGCCCTCAGAAATGTACGTCTCTGACATCCGTCGGTGTCACAGACGTAGTCTGGTTGCGGGAACCTGATTTGCTCTCTGATTTTTGTTGATTGGAGAAAGTATTTCTATCACTTATGTCTGATACGCGGGTTTTCTGGCCGTCGAATGAAGCAGAATCGCTTGCACTACCAATACTGTTTCGAGGTGCCCCAGCGGATACAGAAATTGACTGAGAGGACGTGGCGGACGGAGATGTATTCTGCGTTTGGCTGGCCGTCCACTCCAGTACTAGGCGATTAATGCGTTCCCAACAAGAATGGATGAAATCCTATAATAGATAATTAATATAAGTATAAAAATGCGCATAAAATATGTAATTTAGAACACATATGACATAACTAATAAATATAATGCATATTCTTTATTAATCATTCGAAGATACTTTATGAAATTTTCGATTCAGATTTGGACCATAAAAGTACTAGATCGCTCCACCGCCGCTAAATCAAAAGCTGCTGGTACTATGGAGCTTTTTTACCATATCACATGCATTTCAAATGATCAGAAATAAAATCTAATTGAAATTTAACTAATAATACAATTCAATTCTGAATTTTAATCATGGATATCATTCCTTGAAATTACTTATTATAAAACTAACTGAGATGGCCACATAATGTAACAAAATATTAATTCCGTTGATGCATTTTATATTATACTCAGATAAAAACACTCGTTTATATAAACATAATTACCTGTTCTACATTAATAATATCATGCAGGGAATCAATGAAAGCAGCCATAGTAAGGCCGCTACGGCTGAACCATTCCATGCCGCTTAGAGCTTCCACAATGCTAGCCGCACATATTGTACTGGGTGTATATTGCGAGAATCCGTGATCTGGAAAAACAGAAAACATTAACATTTATATTTTTGAATTAAATAAAATATTCGAATCTTGCTTTATAAAAAAAATTCTAACGCTTAGATAGCAAACACTGGAATTTTTATGAACTGAGCAAGAGCCTAATTGAAAAATTAAGTAAATAATTGTTTGAGTGAAAAAGTAGGACTTATATTCTTAATTATATATATATATATATATATATATATATTATATATATATATATATATATTATATATATATATATATGTGTGTGTGTGTGTGTGTGTGTGTGTTCGGAAACAAGAAAAGTGACAAAGAAAAGGTATGTTATGCACGGCGTGGAATGGTCACGGACGCAAAAAAACATTGGCATAATCGCAGACGTTTCGCCGACAATTTTAATTATTCTCACACACCGAGTTAATCAATAGAGGATCGTAAAATCAAAAATTATGGAGGCGAACCGTAAAGAGAGCTTTTTGAATTGGCAGGCTAAGAGCTTGCGGGCAGAAAATGAATTTGGTATAAAATCCATTGAAATACTATAAATATTAAATAAAGTTTTCACTCAGCTTTATTAGCAACTATTATTTCGTAGCAAGCTCTATCTCGTAGCTTTCGCTTTTTCTTACAATCAGCGCCTGAATCTGCAGACAGGGTGAGAGACGAACCCACGCGTCGGCGCCTCCGATGATGTGAAACGAGATAGTTAAAGGAGATCGCACTAAACAGAGTGCGGCATGTAATTTAAATCTCCGTCGAAATTGCTCAATAATTTGATGTTCGCGCAGAACGAATTCGTCGGCGTCCGATCCGCGGGCGAATGTAGACAAAAGTGCCGAAAATGAAAACTGGCACACGGGGCACGATATGAGATAACGAAGAAGATAGTTGGTCGAGAGCAAAAGGAACGGCCGACATGAAATTGGTACAGTGAATTTTGAGAGGCGTGACCTTGAATCAGCCAACATGAGAACTGATATATTTTTCGCAGAAAATTTTCATTTTAAATTGATATTAAATTATCAATTATTAGTTTTACTAATATATTCTTGTCACTGTTGATATATATTTCAGGCTTATTCGTTCAAAATATAAACTATAGTTTTATATATTATATAAAATCAATACAAGAAGTATTAAACTAGAATAAGTAGCAAAATATTTAATTCCATATAATTTGATTATAAGAATTTTATCCCTCCACACACTTCTATTTTTTTCACGATGATATAGGGTTAATTGTTGACCGTGTCGGCAACTAGCCGTGTAATCTAGTTGTTTTGTTTGAGATTTGGCATAACCATGCACGAAGATCTTATTATGAATGATTATAGATCTCTATTATCAGTGCCTTGCAGAAAAGATATCACTAATTTTAAGTAGTTCTGTGCACGCATTTCGACGGTAGGTACTTTTAATATTAGGGTGCGTGATTATTTCAAAAACATATAACTAGTAGATCTGGGATCTCATTTTTTAATATGAAAAACATTGATGAAAAAAAATCGTATAAAAATATTATTTTTGTGAAGCTTTCTTGTTGAATTCACTAGGAATAAATGACAGCAAAAAATTAAAAGTAGTAATTTGCTTACTTTGTTAAATTAACGTAATTAATTTAATAAGAAACCCATCATATATGAAAGCTGGTAACCGGCGTGGACCAACGCACAAATCAAGCAAATTGAGATACAATGAGAATATGTTTTTTTTTCACTAAATAATATTGCTAAACTATACAATATATAATAATACGTTAATATTATATCTGTGGCATCTAAAAATCAGCTCCGACTCTAAAGTTTTTTAAAGTTTTATGAAAACCCAGTATCGACTATGGAGCTTCTATTTCATTTATATAATTAATTAATATAAAGATTAATGATAAGGAATGTGTAAACTAATTGAAAATAAAATAAAAATATTTTAGAAAATAGCTAATTTTTCGACTTGGTTTAATGGCAAAGTATATTTGAAATGGTTGACATATGTTGTAAAAGACAATACATTTTTCACAATAATATGAAATAATTTTGAAGCTGGTTTAAATCAAGTTATTTCATTCATCCATTTTTGTAATATATTCATTAACGAGTGGCGAGTTTGCGATTTGAATTCCATTGTGCGAATGAAGTCCGGAGGTAAGAGGTGGTATGGTATAGTAGGCGCCCACACAGTTCAGACCGGGCCAAAGCACACGTACGCCGGCGACGCGTGAGAACGTGTTCCCATATAGCGCTCTGGCCGCTGCTAACTGGTCCTCAGTCCTCAGTCCTTAGCCTTTCCACCGCCGTGCAAAAACCGCCAGGAATGCAACAAAGCGAAATAACGCGTGCTCCACCAATGATCATCACCAACACGCACAATGCACACTTTCAAACGAAGCGCTCGACACTTATTGATTCAACAATTTTATGCGATTTTCAGAAAACAACAAGTAGGTAAATAGATTAAAATAATAGTAACACAAATTTTATTAAAACAGCATGGTAACAATTTTGTATTTAGATTTTATCATTTTTTTAAATTTGAAGTGTTCACATGCTCAGTAGCCCGTTGCCATATATCAATCATTACATCTTGAATTTTTATACGAATGAGAAACGAATTAGACGTCTGGAAAAGACTTAATTTTGTAAACAATCCATCGGCGTAGTTATAAACTACTTCAAATACAGTCATTTCAAAATTCCAAATATTTACTAAAGACCACCCATATTGTGTGAACCAAAAAATTGTTAAAATGAAATAAACTGATCAATTACAGTTGAAGCAAGAAGATATATAACTAAGAAACGTATTTTTGTAGACAACATATGGAATTATATGTAAACAACGTACAATTTCTAGTTATCTCACAAAATATAGCACACTGATAAAAACTTAAGAGTGCTTCTCATTGTCACAATCTACCTTTCTTATCTGTTGTCAAAGCATTTCAAATTCTACCAGTATCCAAATAATAAGAAATTTAATAATAAAAAATATTTATAATAATTGTAATCATCAATAAAATAATGAATTACTAAAAAATATAGGACTTTTTCTGTGTTTTCTTTTCGAGGTCCGAAAGTTTTAGAAGCAAGTCGATAAATAGTTTTGCGCACAAGAGTTATTATCGAATTCTGCGAAAGCATATAAAACCGGTCCTTCACTGTTTTAAGCCCGGCGCTAGTAATAACCTCAGACCGATTCCAATTTGGGTTTTGGGGGGATTTGGGATTTAGGACCATATCCCCGCCGAAAGACAGAAAGCGAAAATCGAACGTGCGCAGATCAGGCGAAAATCTCATATTCAATATCACGTTGTATAGAAATATTTTATTCATTAAAATTCGTCAAAAATTAATAATTAAATAACTGTTAAATTAATAAATTTCAATTATTAAAAATCTCTCAGTTTATACTACTGTCGAATAACCCAATAACTTATTCAAAAATAAGCATATGTTTAGGGACTTTGCATCATTCACACATTTTAATGCCAGCTGATTAATAATTTCCGCTGAGAATATTCTTGTAAACGCCCTTGAGTTTTTTATCGACAGAAACATATGCACATACAAATTCAGATTTTTTGTGTGAATGAATTTTTTCTGCATAATCTGGTCTGGATAATTTATATTAATAGAATCAATGAAAATGAATGTTAATATTTGAAAGTATTATTCTCATTTAAAATCATTGACTTATAAAATTTTGATGAAGCAGATTCGACATCCATCCAAACGATTTAGCCAAAAATTATTCGCTGATCTCATCTGACTTTTATAACTGTTCTTTTGTATTATTTTTTAGTATTTATATTATATTCATAATAGATTTACAATGTTAAATGTTACCCCTTTTTTATATTTCATTCTTTTTCTTTTACAAATCATTTATCCAATTTCAGCTCGATTTCTCATACGTGCTACTTCAGCGAAATGCTCGTGTTGTCGAATTTCATATTAACTCCTGATTATAATTGTGCTTTTAAATGGTTTTATATTGCTATCGTAAAATAAATGATCACGTTTTAAAAGAGATGTTGACGAATTAAATTGAAGTATAAACATAATAAAAAACGAAACGTATAATCAAGTTATGAAATAAGCAGGCGTTAATATGTCCACGGATAAGAACAGAGCAAAAACTAAAAACTTATGAATGACATTGCAGCCGGAGCGAACGAGAGGCATGTATGGGTTAGAGGAGAGCGGTGACCACACACGCAGGCGCCGCGCTTTTCCATTCATAAAACTTGAAAGCTCCGATTGGCCGTGTAAAAAGCTCCGCGCGACATGCGAATGGGAAATAACTAGATCGAATTAATTTAGTGACGAAAATGCAAAGTGAGTATATAATAATTTACAAAATCATATTTACAAACTGTGATTGACGAATATACACGTCATGGAGGAGTGGCACAATTTTTGGTATTTTTGTTTTTGTTTTATTTTTCATAGCAATCTATACGATAAGTTTAGCAACAATTTAATTAACTTCCCGAAGGAAAAGTTTATGTTTTCATCAAAAAATCCGATTCGCTAATTTTATGTTTTCTCGACGTTTCAAGCCATTCTGAATCGAATGAGACCAAATTTGGAAAAAATATGTGTGTGTGTGTGTGTGTGTATGTAAACAGATTTTTTGCCGTAAATCGACGTTTTCTCGAAAACGGCTGGGCCGATTTCAAAAATTTAAATGCCATTCGATGTATCTCGACGAGAACTATTGTTTGTCAGTTTTGATGATCGGCCAAGCCGTTTCTTTGCAATTTGAAAAAAAGTGTTAAACTTTTCGTCCACATTTAAGCTCATCCTACCGAACCGATTTAAAAAAACCAAAAACTGTTCGAAAGATATTAGTTGGGAATGGTACTGATTAATTTTAAGTGAAAATCTACCGAGCCGTTTTCTTGTAATTAACTGTTGAAAAAAAAATTTAAGCCGATTTTTATGGATTTTTTTAGCGATATATACCATGGTCTTATAGAACTTTGACGAAAAACAGTGACGTTTTGCTATTA